CGACGAGTAAAGGAGTTGTTAGCACTTGGCTGGGAAATGTGGATCTAATGAATTTGCGATGATCCAATAAAAGTAAAAATTGTTACTCGGGTGATCTCGGGTTGGATGCGCGCGCGATTTGCCGTGACTCCATCATGCCGAGCATCAACGCAAGTCATACATACACAATACATACATATATAGTATCTACGAGGCAGTACATCTCAGTATTGAGTGATATATGATACCTGACAGAGTCTGTGTAAGAGAAAAAAAATCGAAGCTCTGCTACAATTAAGCCTCATGGCCATTAGCCATTCCGGCAGCCATGCCCACTGCCATTGCGTTGCCCATCTGCACCCCAGTCCCGTCTGTAGGCACGAAAACAGTCTTGTTGCCAAACGCTTGGACACGCGTGACTTCCACTCTACGTATCTCCATCCCGCGTGCGAATTGGTCGGTGACCTTGGCATCAGCCGCCGCTCTGATACTGACTGCTTGTGCGTCGGCCTCAGCGGTAAGACGGATAGCTTCCGCTTCTGCAAGAGCCTCGATCTTTGTACGCTCAGCTTGGGCTTTGGCAGCGGCAATAACACTATACGCCTCGGAATCGGCTTGCGCCTATTAAAAATGTTTGTTATGAACGGCTTAGAAAATAAATTGATACCGACATTACGGCTTTGAGCTTTAATGCGAGCAACAGCGAGAGCTCCTTCTTCCTGTTTGACTTTATTCGAGTTTTCTCGGTCGACATTCTGCAGCATATAAATGAGAGGAATGACTATGTCAAAGAGGATGAAACTTACGACAGCCTCGACCTGCGCCTGTAACGCCCTTGTTGTAAGCTTGTCCATGGTTAACGCAATGTCTCCCTTGAATTCACGGTCGATCACGGCTAGAGTACGGTCAGCTCTAAATGTTACTTGCATTGAAACGCCCCACGCTTACCAAGGTCCTTCAAAACGATTCCATACTCGAGTGCGGCCTCGTGCATCTCGTCCATGGCCCTGGTACGAAGAGCGTCAATGAATGCAGATGAAGGGTCCGAACCGTCTTCGAGGTTATCAGGTCCAAGAGAACGCTGCTTCACCATGGTGCCGTAGTCAACTACAGTGCGTGAGTCAAACTATCACACAAGAATAATCGATGGACATACGATGAGCGACAATCTGCGTGAGGATGGACTGAGTTTTGTCACGGAGCGCATCATAGGGGGTGTTATAGCCATGTGTGGTAAGCTGCAGACGAAGTGAGCAATCGCTGACGAAAACCAATTTGTCGAAAGGCGCACCTTCAGGGGTTCCACTAATTGCCTAGCAATTTTATGAATAACTCAAGTCATCAGATGCATCATTCTCACTGCTCACCATTTCAGATAGATCCTCAAGCCGACAGGCACTTGGTCTCTCGTGAAACTGGAGGCCAGCAACGTAAGATAGGGTATTAGTGGCCGAGTGAACTACTTACATATCCTTTGTGGGCAGTTCGAGCTGATTCTCGCCGAGCGTAAACAAACCACGCAGTGTGACGTTTGGATTTGTTATATAATGTTGTCCAGCAGGGAGTAACTCAAGATCGTCTCCACGTTGGAGAATGGCACAGTTATTTGCCGGGATGTTCAAGCTGTGCACCATAAACAATCAGAACAAGAATATTGGAAAAGGGAGCGGATGAACAATAATGCCACAACGTATTCCTGTTCTCCGCCTGAAGCGATGTGACTCCGCATCTTAATTTCGGCAATCCTGTTCGAGATTCAAATGAGCATCATGAACAAGTTGGGATACAGAGGTGCGTACGAGCCAAGGATAGCGTCTGTTACTGCGTCCTTGATCGAAGTAGACAAATGGGTCTGGTCGACGACAGCCAGAACGTCGTATGTTCCATCAATTGCATACGCAACAAATCCTGAATTTTTAACCACAAAAATGCGATTTTGTGGATCAGAAATGACGGCCGCTTGGTTCTGGGACGACTGTTAGACCTTGAAACTGGATCGCAGTGTCCGAGACTGATGGCCGCCTTTCAGTATGACATCATGTAGAATATTAGCGCACGCACGTCCTTTGGTACCGCACCATTGACGAGCCCACCAATTACGGAGGGGGAATCCAGGGTATCGACCAGGCTTGGTCAATATCTTGGGGAGACCACCGTGATTGATTAAACCAAGGAAACCTGGAGAAACTTCCCTACCGGTCCACGAGACAGGGACCTAGTAGTGATATTTTGATGTAAGCCGCAAATGTCACGCTGAGAAATTCAAGTTCACCTTGCTTGACAAGAGACCCGTTCGCCCGGACTGTTGTAGGTTACCGCGGTGAATACCAGAATGATGTACCAAACAGGGTACTCACGTCTCGAAGTTGCCTGTCAATTCTCTCTAGTGCAGCAATGATGCCATCCTTAGCGATGGGTACGAAAAACGGACGTTCTTCCAATGCATAGTCTGCGGTTTTGGAGAATTCGTGCAAAGACACCCTTTCGAGTTTTTTGGGATGCGTGCCAGTCGAATGATTGTCATTGCTTTCGTCGACGCGGTCCGATTTCTTGAGGTCTTCGTGTTTTACAGGGTAGGAAGGACCACCAACGACGGTGTCGGCATCTTCTTCGTTAATTCTGCTACTCATTTAGTTAGTCTGTCTGAGGTTCTTGTTGAGGTTGTGTGTTGGGATACGTGACGCGGTCCCGTATATATACTAAAAAAATATAGGGGAATGTGAAACTGTGGGCGCTGGGGTGGCGGGGCCCAAGCGGGGCCATCCTAATAATCATTGTGAATGTTGCTTTGGGTGTCTCCTGTTGGTCCAGTTGTGTCCTATTGTCTCCCGTCACCTCCCATTGTGCCCCGACTCGACCGTCCTTTTTCATTTTTTCCACAACCTTCTGTTTTATCTCCTCTCACCACAAATATTGTCCCCCTGTCTGTAATTGTACCATATGTTTCCATTTTAATTTTGTTATTTACTGTATGTATACAGTTACTATAACAATTACAATAGGGAAAACACTCGAATCTAATCATCTGTTGTCCCCACATGTTTTTTTTCATGATGTCATGTATATATACAGTCACCAAGGCCACGCGAGCGCCCGAGTCTTCTTCAAACTGTTCTCCTTTACTTTTTAGATTGCACAACAACCAACATGTCACTAGTAAGTATGTACAGGCAACAGTCAACTACTACTTCGGCCTCATCACATGACACGCCAATCCTGGGACAAAACATCTACCCAAGTGTGTGTCTCATCCTCCTCGGCAGGTTCTGTCACATCTATCAGTCCACTGAATGAAACTTGAACAGGCCGCTGTAAACGGGACGCAGTGACATGTGTGGAAGATACAGATATCACGCGGGCGACTGTTATCAGCATCTCGGGAGTCCACGTCATAGGATTGATGGCAAGACCCTGAGCGTGCAGATGAGCGTTCTTGTGCACTTTACTGGTGAAAGAAGCCCACCTTGTATGCAACAATGTTGTCTACTGTCACTTGTAACGCGCTAGTGATTTTTGGAAGTAAGTCCCACTGCTGGTCCGCACGAAGGTAAAAGACTTCGTCTGGGTTTGCCATCGGCACTTCAGCCGAACCGTAATCAAGACTGAAATCGGCGGTGCACGATTCATTGTCGTAGGAAGCTGTGGCAAGCTCCTCTTTTGATCTCCATTTCTTCTTCGGCCGTTTACCTTCCTCTACATCTACACTCGTTACGAATATATTCGATGGCAAGCTATTCCGTTCCGAAGGAGGAATCAGCCTTGCGTGCTTGACGGGAGGCACTGCAGCCTCTTCTAAATTTGAAGTTCCAGCAGGTACAAGCTTATCTGGAGGCTCAGCTTGTGCAGGGGCGTTTTCAAGCTCCGCAAACACGATCTTTGGAGGGAGGGGCTTGTCCATAAGCTGGCGGAAATTCTTTTTCTTATTTTTATTCCGCAGGGACACCATCATCACGTTGGGCTCAGACTCGGGCTCTGCATCTGCAACATAGGCTTCAGAAGAGGTACGGATTGAGGAGTTTGGCTGAATGGAAAGGGGTAGGACAGTATTAGCACCAGATATGGGTGCTAAAGGTTTGTCAGGGGGTTGATTGTGCTCCGCCACACGTTTTCGCCGTCTGCGGAGATTGCGATTGCGGGTGGAAGGCTTACCGTAACCCGGGGGGACAAACGAGATGCTAGTGAATCTGCGTGAGTGACGAAGAGAATCAAACAGTTCTCGTACTTGTCTTGCACAGTTTTTGATTTTGTAGTTGGGTTCATGCGCTTCCCTGACTCGGAGAGCTGCCGTGAGGGTTTTGGAGCCTCATCCGTGTTGGAATCGGAATCGGAGTCTGAGGAACTGGATGAGTCGGATAAGCTGGATGAGTCGTCAGATGAGTCAGATGAGCTAGAACTCGAGGATGAGCTGGACGAAGGTTCCGGGGATGTAGATGCACGGCGTTTACGCTTCTGAGTGGCAGGCAAGGGCACCCTGTTACTCGACAAAACAGGTTGGGATGTTGCTGCTGTGCGTTTGATGCTGTCAAGGACATGAGCTCACCGCAGTAAATGGCGCACTTGTATGCTCACCAAACAGCATCCCCGTCGCGTAAAATCGATATAGGACTGTCGTCCAGAAGGTCATACTCGTCCATCACGAGAGTAATGTTATCGGCTTGCACACCAATGGGCAGCCGTGCACATAGCGCGCGTTTAAGTTGCGCGATTGTATGGGCCTCATCGTCTAGAGCAAACCATGCTTTGAACGGGCCCAACGGATGAATTGTCGAGATTTTGAGCCGCATGATGACAGCGACAGTTTAAACACCGAGCTTACGTTGAACCTCCGCAACATATGAATCATGATCATGATATTCCTTCAAAATGGTCAACCTAACGTTTATTTTTTGCAGCTTTGCTCATGTCTTAGAGAACGTTCGTACATGTACAGGCCTTGAGACTAATAGATGTAATTGTCAAAAATCAGTAAGTAGGAAAATCTTAATGATGAATAGTCTAGAATCTAGATGTCCCACGGGTGTATTTACTTTATGCACTTACTTCTCCTCAAGCCACGTCGACTTTCGTTCAAACTCGTTTCTTTCTATTTTTTGGACGGACTAGCACTTAATCGTTTGTCGCCAATCTGCGGCAATGGCGAACTATCACTATGATGAGGCAGGCAATATGGCCGCCTATTTCGTTATTTCTGTTCTTGTTATTATTCTGCTGCCTGTCACACTCTCATCACTTGCAAGCGTGTCTTCCAGTGAGCATGTTTCTTTGTTCTTGCGAATTTGACTAAAAAATGTCCAGAACGCCCAGAGCTGGATAATGGGTGCCAATGCACACCCTGTATACAGCGTAGAGCCGACGTGAGGAAGCACCAGCGTGGCTCCCTGTTCCGACCAAAGGTTACCCTAAAGTGAGACATTTGCGCGGTTTTGAATGCCACTCACGCTCTAAAAGGGCACTATTAATTACCGTGGGCTGGGCTGCTGTCGCCTTCCTCTCATTCAAAGTTGCACATGCAGAAATAGAAAACAAGGTCTATAATCCATTCGAGATCCTTGAAATCGGCACGGTATGTAGAACACAATATACCCGCTCTCTTTGGTTGCTCATCTCATGCAGGGAGCAACGGAGAAGGAGATCAAGTCGCGTTTCAAAGAATTATCACGAATATAGTACGCGTCTGAATTCTTATACTGTGCATGAAGCATACAAACTCATCATTCTCAGTCATCCCGACAAAGTCAAAGCAACCATTAATGAGACAGTAGAGGACATCGCTAACCGTTTCGTGGACATTACCAAGGCGTATAAGTCGTACGTCGTATGTCGAATTCGTAGTCAGGTGTGATCCCACTAACACCATTCAAGGTTAACAGACGAGACCATTCGCCGCAACTGGGAACTTTTCGGGCATCCCGATGGTCGACAAGAAGTCTCAATGGGCATTGCTTTGCCAAAGTGGGTTATTGAGGGCAAAAACAATATCTGGGTCCTCGGTGTATATGGCATTCTCTTCGGTGGCGCACTCCCCACGCTTGTGGTATGTTCCCCGCAATCGCCTCACCTTGATTGGTCCTTACAAAGCATAGGGTCGCTGGTGGTTTGGTAACCGCCAAAAAACAAAAGATGGGATTAATGCAAAGACTGCTGCTGCGTTCTTCAAGGCGCTCACGGACAACAGCGGCATGAAGGAGGTCATTAGTGCGCTGGGCCAGGCATACTGCTGGGAGACTACGTGGGCAGGCACTGCAGTTGGATTAGAGGAGCTCGAGAAACAGATCGGTGAAAAAATGGGCGATCAATGGAGGGAGGTAAAGGATCTCGTGGCTCCTGATGGAAAATGCGAAGGGACCAAGCAGCGGGCGTTGGTACTGTTGTATGCGCACTTCTTAAGGTTAAAAATCAACGATGAGGCGCTTAAGCAAGGTAGGTTTGACTTTCAGGATGTGATGACGTTTCTGATCGTTTGCGCGTCCAGAACAAGCCAAGTTATTATTGCAGTCTCCGATACTGCTCAACGCACTGCTAGGAATCTCGGCTGCACGGAGTTGGTTAACACCCACCTTGATGGTGATGCGTCTGCACGCCTACGTCACGCAAGCTCTTCTCCCTGGAAAAACTGTTGCACCACAAGCTCAATTACCTGGCTTCGATGGTGATGCTGATGAACCAGAAGGGAAAGACCTTGTCTCGTTCATATCACGACTCGAGGACAATGGAGATATTCGGAAAACGGAAGCACGGAAGGCTGTCGAGGGTTGGAGTCGGTTGGATGTTGTGGATATGTCTTTCAAGGGTTTGTTCTTCATTGTGATCATCAACTCGGTACTTATTTCATTTTAGTTATCGGTGAACGCTTGGTCACACCGTCATCTATCGTTTTCCTCCTCGTCAAACTGCGTCTTCGCCAGCCACTTCAAACCGATTCACCCTCATCTGTTTCGGAAAAATCAGCAAAGGCCATTCGAGAGGACAGGGAAAAAGACGACAAATTTTTGAACAACCGAAAGGATGCGGAGGATATCGAGGGGGCGACACCTGCGTGGGCTCACGCACCTCACTGGCCAGGGGTTTGTCTTTTCCTTTGGTGTCGTCTCTGCATGTCTGATTGCAACATTCACAGCTGCGCAAGCCAGGATGGTGGCTTGTCCTTGCTGATGACAAGTCGAACAGAATTGTTGTCCCCCCAATGAAGATCTCAGACGTACCCGCGTCGAGCCCCGGGAAGGAACGTGACTACCGCTCCTACAAGTTACAGTTCCAGGCTCCCCCTAACGTGGGCTTGTTCACTTGGAAGGTATACCTGGTCAGCGATACGCTTGTAGGTGAGGAGTTGTGCCGTGACATTTCGGTAAGTTCTCGTTTGACTTTGCAGTGTCGCGATGACTGATGTAGCACACAGCTCAAAATCGATGACATATCTGCACTCAATGCGGAGGAGCAAACAGCGGAGGATGAGATTTCTGATCCTGAGGAGGATACATTGGCCGGTCAGATGGCTGCAATGCGCGGAGGAACTGTAAAGCGTACAGCTGCGCCAGAGGACAGCGAGGACGAGAGTTCGACCGATGAGGAGCAGCATGGTGATGATAGTTCAGATAGCGACTAGATGTTGCATATCTTGTCTGATTAGATTACACATTTTGGTATTTTATCTGCCTCCCCTCCTCTTTATGGTAGTAAAGCCATCCTCGTCGATGTCTGGTACTTCCTTTGCATGGTCAAGCAGCTGTGGAATGACCTCCTCCCCGAAATCTTCGCTGTCGCTTCCACTTTCGTCCTCGTTATCACCATCGCTATCTTCCCAATCACTTGCACTCCCTGCATCCACTTCATATTGTGGCATTTTTCCTTTCGTCCGATCCGCTTGCATCTCCAGATCCTTGACATATCCATCCTTTCCCTCTTTCGCATCGTTCCACAAACGCACAACATCTCTAGCAACGTCGAACGCGCTTCCATCCTCGAGCGCAACCTCAAACTCGTCATCCATGATCTGGAGCAGCATCGTTTCTATGTATTCGGTGTCTGGCTCAGGGAGTGTGTGTGATGAATGCATGGGGGTTGACTGATGCGAATCGAAAGCCGTCAATGAAGCAGATGCTGATGGAAGGCACGCTTCAAATTCATCTATGATGATACCCGCTAACCAGCGCTGTTTTTGTGCGCTTTGCGGACCTCCCCAATTTTGGTGCACAGCAATGCGAAGAGCTGGCCATAGCGCGAGGCGGGCTAGTATGCCACGCGCGAATAAGACTGATATGGGCGACGTGTCTGAAGCCATCGCAAATGGTGAAAGATGAGTTAGATCGCTTAGTAAGCGATCCGTATGGAATCTACTTGTCAGTGCTCCTGTGACATGCAAGACAACTTTACAGTTAATCTATCTACAGGGTACTGGCGTAGGGCGCTAGCGCTCATCTCTGACTCATTTATAAAATTTCGCAATCAATAAGTACTGTAGCGACAACACATACATCGAGTGCAGCAAACACAAATCACAGTTAAACACCCTTGGTTTGCAAGCTGAAGGCTGACAATCGAGCTTGACTTTCCACTGGAAATGTTGCAGGCCCATTAATGTATACTCCTTGCGTGCCTCATCTCCTATTATTATCCTCGAAGATATGCATAATATTACATGCGATGTGATAATACACATGTTCGTATGTCGAGCAAGGCACATTGATTGCCAGAAGATGCTAAGTAGTGGGACATCTTATCATTGCGTTACACGCAATCTGCTCGCCTTCGGATATTGCAATGACAGGTTGGCGAAAATCGTATTGGCTGTCATTTTTTCGTTCGTAGTCAAAAATAAGTTCAACTGCTTGTAGCTTTCTGCATGCACCGTGGCGGGGCGGGGATAGTAGCGGATAACCTACCCGTCGATACTCATCGGATTTGCATTTTTCAAGCCGAACTGACCGCAAAGCCTTTTCAAGGCACAAACCGAGCGAGAATCCCGTCCAGGTACCTCTCGATCTTTATTATTTCCGTCTCGAAAAGTGTCGGTGTTGATAAAAATCTCAAAACGAATCGATTAAAATCCAGAGCCATATTGTTGTCGACATATATCGTTACATGTGTCTCCGTCGACTCTCGTTGGAGCACAAACTCAGCGGCCGTCCGGTCTTGGCTCTAATAATCACAAAGATCAGCTCGGGTCATACTGCGTTGAAAAATAATACTCACGCGACCATTGTACGCTCAAAATTAGATTATCATAACCTTTACCGTTTAGTTTTTCCATTGCCCGCTGCGCAATAGCGCGCTCCTCAAAGGACACAAATGCAAAGCCCTTGCCAATACCCGTCTCTCGGTCACGGCCGACGTAAACCCTCGCTACACGCCCGAATGTACCGAAAAGCTCGCGAAGATCAGATTCTTGCGTGTCTTCAGAGATATTGGTGACACGGAGTGTGGGGAGGTCTTCGCGAGAACCGCCTGGGCGTCCCATGGATTCACCAGGACGAGAAGCACCACCACGCATTGATGGTGGTACGTATTTTCCACCAGTCGCCCCGCTGGCTGCAGGAGCAGGTACGTCAGCCGCATCATCAGCTGGCGGTAGGTCTGTCCGTATCCGCGTCAATGAGATCGAGCATTAAGTGAATGAAAAATACTAACCAGCAGTTTCGAGACCAGCGAGAGAGTCCTTATATGGACACTTGGCAGTAAAGTGATCGCCTTTGCAAAGACGACATATAACCTTGCCTGCACCGGCTTTTGCAAGTTCGGTTTTGATATTTTGCTCGGGTGTTACCTCCGGCTCAGAGGACTTTTATGACTGTCAGTCTGGTCCAAGAGTAGATGAACTTATAAACAAACCTTGTTGCCTGCACTAATTTTCAAAGTCACATTCTCTCCTACTGTAGTCGTCGCTCGATCTGGCCCTTCCTTGTTCCCTCGTTCCTTACCAAACTTGGCCCATTTCTTGCGTTCAGCAACTGTGTGCTCGACGACGGATTTTTGAAGCGTACGCTTTATTTTACGGGTTATCTTGCAGAAATTTATCAGTAAAAAACGCCGACATAGAAGATGGTACAGATGAGACATAGCATGCAGACGAGATAGACGTACCTTGACCTTCTTTCCCTCATCATTTATAGCATACTCGATGGTGACACGAATGCCATTCTCATCCACATAATCCTCAATCTTTGGTTGATCTATTTGAGAACGTCAGACTGCGATGTGATTGTGGACGCGAGGGTGGGTATTCACCAAGCTCGTCAACATCATCTGCCCAAGAAGTTTTGGGTATACTGTGAAAAAATTGTAAACTTGACAGTCTGAACCCTGGAAACTCCCAACCTACGTTGCTGCCGCCATGTTATCACTGAATAAGTATGTTCCTGGTGCTGCATGGACTCTTTACAGAATAATGGTGGCAGTGCTGTCCACGTGATCGGAATTTTGCAGCCTCATCTACAAGATTACTAGTCTCCACATCGCCCTCGACGTCCCCAAGCTCACGACATAATCGCCCTCTTCAATGGTAAGTTTTTGTCTTGCACATATTATGGTTAGAATACGCTGCAGGATCGGTTTGAAACACCAACAATCCGAGTCCAAATGGTGGATTGATAACCCGCACTTTGGATGTAGTACCTCTATTGTCACAACCGCTAACGCGTTCCTCCCTTTGCGATGCGCAGGCCTCATTAGAACTTGCCGCAACTTACGCTGCACTTATCCTCGCCGATGAGGGTATTGAAATTACCGTGCGTATCTTGCAGGTTTCACATCCATATTTCTCGTAGCTCAAGAGGCATATGCAGGCTGACAAAATACTCGCCTTGACTGACGCTGCCTCGGTCGAGCTCGAGCCAATCTGGGCAACTCTTCTTGCTAAGGCTTTGGAGGGAAAGAATGTGAAGGATCTGCTATCAAACGTCGGTGCTGGTGGAGGTGCACCGGCTGTCGGTGCACCCGTTGCTGCTGCCGCTGGTGGTGCTGCTGCCGCTGAAGCACCAAAAGAAGAGGAGAAGAAGGAAGAAGCAAAAGAGGAGTCAGACGACGATATGGTACGCGCTGAGGTCTCCCTTTCCAGTCACCACGGGGTGCTGATGTTCGTTCACAGGGCTTCGGGCTGTTCGACTAATCTGCAGTTTTCCTTTATTATGTTATTCATCCACTGCATACGTCACATGGGTTCACTCTCTACATCCTGCGTTGTATCTCTCGCGCCACTTTGTGCTACGCACAGAATTCAACATCTGAAACCCATCTGGATGATTGCTTGAGAACGATGAGAGCTTACTGATGATATAAACCTCATCCCGCAGTTGTCCTGCAGTCCGTTAAATTAATTGCTGTTGGTACAATACGTCATTCAAGCCCAAAGTAATACCTGTAGTTGAAAGCAACTGATCCGCAGGTTCCTCTAGTCGAAACTCGAGGACGCGGTGTTATTGAAACTATGCCTGAAAATACAGGGAAGGTAAGGAAAATATCAGTGGCACCACAACAAATCGATTTCGTCTCGTCAGTTGCCGTTGACAACACTGAAGGTGATGACCAGCGGCGGGAGGGAGGGTGCAGGACAGGAAAAGCTAGGGAGGGACAACGAGGATAGCATGGCCTTCGAAGGCGTGTGTCCGCCTACGGTACTTCATGTGCACGGCGGACAAGGCGATCTGTCGCGCAAGGGAAAGGTTTGGTTTGAGGAACAGGCAGGGAGGGCCCACAAGAAAATGGAGCGGTTGATATGATTAGAATAATTATACGCGTTCAAATCAATGGTTTGCGTTCGGTCTTTCTGCTCCAGAGAAGGCGTGCACGTGGCCGCGAATACAGGTTCTAGTTCTATTATGTCGAATGTTCAAATTTTGGTGTAATCACTCGTTACTGGCGTGTTTTTTTTTCTTCATTGCTCGGCCAAGCAGCCTCACAAGCATGAATTCGACACTACCCGACATTTCCATAAATAACAAGCCACGGCTTAGTTTGCGCACACAGCTCTTCTTGTACAAACGTTGGTAGATATATAGAAAAATAAGGTACTTGGCCCCGTGGAGAAATAACCTTTATAATGCATCTTCAAATAATAATCTTCGTGGTTTGCTTATGTGAGGCGATGGTGAATATAAAGCAGGCCTGGGAAAGATACCGTCAGGAGTATGAATGGGTCACAGACTATGATCACACTTACATTGAAGTTCCGCAATTTGCAGCTGCGTTGCCCATAATAATACTTTCTGATACACCAGCGATACTGTCATTCTTCCCGAAGGCTGCTGCATCAAACAAATGGTCCGTCGTCTTTTCGAATGAGGCAAGCATCAGAACGCTGTCCTTCATTTTTGCGACACCAAAGCGAGTGATACCAAGAACCTCTCCCTGTGTGCACAATTAGTAAGAGAAATCGATATTGCACCGCACTCGTACTTTGTAGCTCATGACGTCGCCAAGCAACATGACATGACGGGGGTCAATGCTCATTCCGTGGCTCTGCATGGTATACTGGATTTCGTCGATTATGGTCCGTCTCGCTGCTTCAATCCCCAAGACTTTTGCTGACTCAATTACATGGTTGGAAGTCGTAGCCTCGCCAACAATCCCTACATCTAGATCAGCAAATCACGACTAGTTTGAAGAACAGAAAGGCCTACCCTCAGTGGTCATGACCCTCTGTAGTCCGTAGCCTTCTACAAGTAGTTCCTTGTCTCCCTTTTTTCCCTTAACGTCGTCCTTCTCTTTTATGTTAATGACGGCGCGCTGAATAGTTGGCACTCCCTGTGGCAATGATTCAGATACTGATTACGGCCAAGACCAAATGATTGACCTTGACTACCACATCCGACAAAACTCGTTTCAATTCTCGCAACTTGTAGTATTTGTCTGTTCCATCAATATAGATGCGCAAGCGGTTTCTGCGAGGAATAACTGTAATGGACTATCGACAGTAAGTTTTGTGACAACATATACATGACACGGATCTCACTTCTTGTTTAATCTTGAGCTTTCTCGTGGCCACGATTGCCCACTTTATATCGTCCAAAGTGAGTTCAAGCTGATGCGACAAGTGAGCACACATTGATAGATATGTTAATGGACTGACCTGGAGCTTCTGGATGGTATCCATATCTATAATTACACCAATATAAATGTACTCTGGCGCCCATGCCTCTTCAAAAACAGCAGCAATCTGCACAAAATTCAGAATGACATCCTAGGCTCATAGGCTGAAAATGTCTTACATCGCCCAAATGAGTTTTTTCAAGGCGGCCCTTGACTATACGTGCAGAAGGCTCGCTGTTAGGAGTGACGAGCTTGCAGCTAATGATGGGCGTGCTAATAGTCTTGGATGCGTTAATGATTTCTTTGATTCGCGGAACACCAAGCGTGACGTTCATCGAAGCGACCCCAGCAAAATGGAAAGTCTTGAGGGTCATTTGTGTCCCTGGTTCTCCAATGGACTGAGCACCAACTGCACCCACAGTGGAACCTAAACTGCACTCAGTTTCCCTGAAGGTAAATTGTATAGACTCCACTTACCGGGCTCAATCCTGGCTTTGACGTACTTTTTCCAGCACAAAGCAAGAAAATGCTGGAGCTGAGACTCGGTAACTTTGGCCTTGTTATCTACAATAGCCTTGGAAGCGGCTAAAGAATGTGTCAGAACGCAGGGAGCAAACGCATTTTCTGTGCAAACCTGAAGCTCCCATAGACAAGTCGGTATCACGATCCCATTCATCTGAGCGCTCCAGAGCCTCAAACATTCCCTGGCTTTTGCGCATCTTTGCGAGATGATGAGCGATATGCTGAACGATGAAGTCTCGTATAGTATCAACATATGTTGGTGTGCACTCGCTGGTGAACTTCGGTTTCCTGAGCTCTAGATCGACAAGTTCCACGATCTCGAAGGGAAGTAAACCGCGACCACGACGGTTTCCTATTGCCTGCAAGAAGGTGAGACATCTGAACCAGATAGACAGTAATTTTCGGTACACACCAAAGCATGCGTCCATGTCCGCTCGAACTCGACTGGCTGCGCATCACCTTCAAGACATGCAGGATCCAAGCCATCATCACCATATCTGAACTGTACAACGCCGCCTGTCGAGTTGCGCACTGATAGATCATATTGAGTGGTCAGATCTTCTAGTGCCTTCATCAAACGTCGCTGCATGTAACCGGTCTCAGCGGTCTTCACCGCGGTGTCGACCAAACCCTCACGACCGGAGATGGCGTGAAACAGGAATTCTGTCGGTAGCAGACCGCTGAAAAAGCTGTTTCTAACGAAACCTTTGGATGGAGGTTCTTTCGACTTCTTCTGGAAATGGGGTAGAGAACGATCTTGAAAACCATCTGGAACACGGTGACCCGCAATGATTTGTTGACCAACACAAGCAACCATCTGAGAAACATTGATCACGGAACCTAGTGACACTAAGCGACATTGACAAAAACGGAATCCGAGGGACAAACCTTTAGAACCACAAGTTGCCATGATTAGAGGTGCGTTATGTCGACTCAGCTCCTGCATACAAATATCTCCGACCTTGTCCCGGACTCTTGAAAGGATTCCAGATATCATAGCTTCAAGTGTTTGCTCTTGGTTGCATCCTGGTTTGTTCTCCAGCTTCCCCTTCTTTGCCTGCGTAATGAGGTTTGTACATTCAGCGTAAGCAGCCTCGACCATTTGGTTTTTCTTTGACGCAAGGATAGGCCCTGGAATGACATCGTTGATTCCGAGGGAGAAACCGAAGTTGGCTGGAAGAAAATTAAAACGTGAAACGTGTCTGATTGACGATAAGACGCACCCAACCAACGAGCGCACAGTTTTGCTACACGGTTCATGGCTGCGGCAGCTTCATGTGGGCCGTAGTCCCTCATGATTATCCCGAATATCGACTTCTTCTTCCCGCTGCCGACGATAGCTTTATCCATGACACCACACATAATTTCGCTATTGACGATGACAAGCCAAGCATCGTTCGGAGACAGATCTGGGGCTGGGTCTTTGATGGAAGGGTAATGTTCAGGTTTCAACTTTTCCGGTTTATTGCACTTGCATTCAACGTTTACAAATACGTTGGATTGCTTGTTAGGACGCATGAGAACGTTGAAAATCTGTTTGCCTGTCCAGAGTCGTATAGGCTTCCAGATCGTCGGTGGGGGTATGTCAATCTGTAGGTCGGCATCGGCAAAATAGCAACATATTTGTGTGAACTGGCGACGGTCGAAAAATGTATCTTTACGGGTCATCAAGTAGGAAGCCGTGATAAAATCCTGAATGGCGGCGATCACAGGCTCTCCGTTCCGAGGGGTGACTAGATTGTGTTTCACGCTCATGAGCTCGAGCGCTTCTGTCCTTGCTTCCTCCGTCTGAGGAATATCTATTCGAGAGATTATAAGTGTTCGAATATCATTCAGCATGACAAAAAACTAACGAAGATTCATTTCATCGCCATCAAAATCGGCGTTGTAAGGGCCACAAACACATTCGTTTAGACGGAAGGAGCGCCAAGGACGAACCTTGACCCTGTGACACATGATCGAGAGCTAAAAGGGACAAAGTCAATGAAGGTTTGAAGCTACTGCAAAACAAGAGACCTTGTGCAGACTGGGTTGCCGATTGAACAGGGCAATATCACCATTAATGATATGCCTCTCGACAACATCCCCGATTCTCAGACTGTCAGCCACCGCATTGCGATTGCCAAACTTCAAGAATTTCTTGAAACCACTGCTGCCCGCCGTCACGTAGTTAGCGCCGGGGTGTACATCACACCCATTGCGAACGGCTTGTTTGAGACCGTCAATGTTGTGGGAAGTCACACGTTCAGGGTATGTCAATATTTTCGCGACACGCTCTGGTACCGCGACTTCATCAATACGCAAATTTGGGTCAGGGGAAATCACGGTACGACCGGAGAAATCGACACGTTTCCCAGACAGATTACCGCGGAATCGACCTTGTTTACCCTTCAGGCGCTGTACAAAGCCTCTCATCGGCTTTTGACCAGCTTGTGAGGGTACCCCAGGGAGTTCGGAGTTGATATACATGGCGACAGAAAGTTGAAGGAACTCCCAGTGTTCCTGAGCGTGAGTTGAGCAACGGCAAGTACCGTGAGTAGTCCTCACATACCATGAATTGTGCAGTGGGCGCTCCTTTGGACAGACCCTGCTTTATGAGAGCATTGGTGAAGACGATTTCCGTGAGTTTGACAGTGAGGTCATCTTCGTTGGAAGCCCCATCCTGGGCAACGGATGGTCTAATGCAAACTGGTGGGACGGAGATGTACTGCCAGATATACTCTTCTGGACGACCGAACTCGGGTCGTAGACCAAGCAATTCGCAGTCCTGAAGTAGATGTTAGTCTCGTAAACGTTGAAAGTAGACATAAACGCAAAACCTCATCAGATATTCTCTTGAAAAGATCGAGGGTTTTAAGTGGATTTAAATCTTCATGGATTGCCTTGTTCAAGTACATCCCAAGTTCCTTCTGTGCCTCTACCGCTGGAGCAAATGTACGCTTCCATTTCTCCATCTCGTCTGCCGTTTTCTTCGCGCGAAATTTATCGTGAATGATCTTCAGTACTCCTGCCTTTTTGACAGCGCCATTTGTTGCTGAGCAATACGGACAGTAGACGACCTTTCGTGCCATCGTATTGACCTGTTTGCATAATGCCTGTCGGTGGATATTTTCAAGACCTGGTCTGCGGAAGCGTTTGAGGTATGTCCGCCTGTCGGGTTCCTCCAGTAGCACGCGAGCACATGTCTTTTATCGCGTCATTAAGCAGGAAATATATAAAAAGTCTACCGGCTTACTTTGCATATGGCCTGGAGGATGGCTATGGTATGCTTGAAGTAGCCAATGTGAAATACTGGGACCACCAGTTTGATATATGCATAGTGGCCAACGCAATCGACAGAATTGAGGCCGCAGGTCTCGCAAAATGCGTTCTTCTCTGTCGTTCCCTGAGATAGTGATAAGTCACACTGTGCATGGGAAGGTGTGGGAAACTCACAAGCCGACGATCTAAAACGCCATCTTTGACGGGAAGTCGATCGGCGGGCGTATACAAGTCACGGTGAGTCACCTGGAACTCAGAGATCTTGACTGTATCTTGGGCATTGAGCAAGCTGAACTGTAGCTGTTTTCTGATGGGTTCTTGCGTCAATCAATTTTAGACAACTGGAGGAGGAAATTGGACATACATAACTTTTGGTGCCTCAGAAGGTACTGTCTCCTTCATGGCAAATAATCTAGTAAAAGAAGCTAGCGAGAAATTTTGCGACGACGCCTGTCACTCATGCACAATGCAGGAGTAAACCTGTATCTGTGTATATATGTACAATTTCAGTTCGCCGTCACAAGCAAGTTTTGGGTTATCGATGGGCATCAATGTGTGATGTGACTCAATTGTGACGATCCGTGACATACTTGCGTGATGCCCGTGATGAGACTTGCGCGTCGCGTGTCTGTGATTGAATCATATCCTGCTCCAAACCATGTCGAGAACATCATACGATAGGTTCGAGTATTCACCAGTTCCGCTGTCTATATGCTTATGAATTATTTGGCAGATATCTCACTGTTTTCTCGCCGGAGGGCCGACTGTACCAAGTCGGTGCGTTGATGACGATTGGACATGCTTGTAATGACGCGTGCTCATATGCTCCCCTTTAGAATATGCATTCAAAGCTATCTCTGGTTCAGGCCACACAGCTGTCTCCGTCAGAGGATATGACACCTCTGTAGTCATTACCCAAAAGAAGATCCCAGTACGTTGTGCTACGAAACGGCTGTCATCATGGTATTTACTTGAGATCAGGATAAGCTATTGGATGCATCGACTGTTACGCACCTCTACAGCATCACCCGTACTATTGGGTGTGTCATGACTGGTCTTGTCGGTGAGCAAAAAATGCTGGTTGTGGAATAGCTTGTACTTGCGCTGACGTAGGTTATAGCTGATGCCCGTGCTCAAGTTTTACGTGCTCAGCAAGAGGCTGTCCAGTGGAGATACAAGTACGGATACGAGATAACTCCGGATGCTCTAGCACGACGACTGGCAAACATCAATCAAGTCTACACGCAACGAGCTGGCATGCGGCCCCTAGGCATCTGTGAGGCACCTATTTTGTATCGTCGTTCGCAACTAACGACAATAAATATGCTCGTAGCTATGATCCTAATTGGCATCGATCCAGAATACGGGCCGCAATGTTTCAAATTGGACCCTGCGGGCTACTTTGTTGGGTTCCACGCCACTGCTGCTGGACAGAAACAGCAAGAAGCGATGAACCACCTAGAAAAGAAATGGAAGAAGCTAGACAAGGGCAAGGGAGCTGATGATGCTGCAGCTGCTGGCAAGAAGCTCAGTCGAGCGGAGGTTATTGAGGTGAGGAATACTACACTATAAAATGACTTGAATAGCTGAACATTGTTTAGATTGCAATAGAAGCAATGTCGACTGTTCATGCGACGGACTACAAGGCCGGGGAAATAGAGATTGGGATCGTGTCAACTGCTCAGGACGAGGACCCCAAGACTCGTGGTGAATGGCGTGTGATGGATGAGGCCGAGGTAGAGAGATATTTGCTGGCATATGCAGAAAAGGACTAGATGCATTGTTGCACACATGAGAATTAATCATTTGCTTGCGGAAACTTGGAAAAAGTAGTTTAGATAAGGTTTGGGGGTGACGCGGCATGAATTGTAAATGGTGTCTATCAGATTTATCTATTCTATCGCAAAGAAGCTCCTCCACTCTGCACGACTGTGAGCACTGAATTATTTGTTACACATAAATACTGACCAGTATGGCATCGATCTCTACTTGCTCCAAGTATCTGGTGGATGGCTTCGAGAAGCGTGCTGGAGCGTCCCAGAATTCTAGGAAGACGGGATGTTCCTGCGGCGCTCGGTGTGAGCTGTGAGGAACAGCCTTTTCAGAAAAGGACTTTTGCCATTCTGGAGGAGCAGCTGGATGAGGGTGAGAGGGACCTGCAGCTATTATGACATTTAGGTTTTTATGCAAGACAATAATTAAACCAACGTACTAGCTGGCCATACACGCTTTCCGATGAAGCTGATGAGAGGTTTATGTGCGAGCACTTTAACAGACGGATGCATGGTAAGTAAGTACTTGGCTGAGAAGCGGGCCGCCACTGCAAGGGATATGTTATTTGTACATGTTTACTTGGGCGGAAGGCTGAAGCGACCGTGCCGATCGCCTACACGATAGTGACGCTATTAAAGGTACGCTTGAAAGCCACTTGAAAGATAAATAAAACAAGTATACAACTTCTGACATACTTGACAGCTCTTTGTTTCCTATGTCAGTGCTTCAGGTGTACTCTTCCCTGTCATCGAGCTCCCCAAGAGCTACGATATCACGTACACTTCAATCAATCGCTAGTATGTCTTAATCTTGTTTTATGGCTAATTGCTTCAATCTAGTTTCTTAGGTGCTCCACCTATCAATCCCCCTTCATGTAAAGCACTCATTCAGCTCATAATCGATGATCTCCAGGCTGTCATTATCGATGGCTCGCCCAGCCGCTTAATCAGAGACGGTTTGCTCACTCTATTAGATCTATACACCCCGTACTGATCCCATGTCAATCGTAGACGCATTGTCCGCTCTTTCTGCAGTCAAGGGACTTGGTAGAATCCCCCACGGTGCTCAAGTCCTTGCATCAGTTCCTAACCTCAAATGTCTTATGACGCTTGCCATAAAACTCGAAACTACTCCTGATGCATCGAACGAAGCTTTGAAGTGCGTTGCCAACACCTTACTCCTCATTGAACCTGCCCGCACCACGTTGCTGAGTCAAGATATCGATGGAGGAAATATCTGTATCGAGCTGCTCCAGGTCAGAGTCCGCCACCCCGTGTGTTTTGCATTCAACCCATTTTTTCTAGAAATCTGCAACACCCGAGAACACATTTCTCTCATCCAGAATCCTCTTCCTCTGTACTGCATCCCATCATCAATCCGCTTCCTTCATTGAATCTATCGTCGAGACAAAACACTCCCACTTTCCGGGAAATGGAACAATAATCGATGTTATTGCACTCAAGTTGGATGATTTAATCGCGTCCATGCAAGCTGGAATAAAGATGTCTCGCGATGCCATGACAGATCTCCTGAAGCTCACCTTTAATCTCCTCGTACACTATCCCAAGGTCAGTCACTTCGTTTTGAACCACAATTACGAACTCTCAGTCGTGTTGCAGCTGGTTCCCTCTGAGTTAAAATATCCCGCGTTAGCCGGAATTCCTGATGACCAAAAGGTGATGGGTGATTTCTGGAATTCGCGGCTTGACGGGTGAGCGCCTTGTGACGATCTTTATCATAGTATCTCACATGGTACTGCAGCATCCTACCTTCACTTGTTCGTGCCTTTCAGACTATCCCCCTTTCCTCCCCAAATCCCCTTACGTCGCCGCTGACTCACATAATTCACTCGCTAATCACTATTCCTGTTGACTCGTCATCCCGAGCGATATGGTTCGGTACTCTCCCACATTCACGTTCGACTATCCCACAGCCCAATTCGTCCGAGCCCACAACTTCTTCTTTGACTGGTTCAAGTCATGATGACCAGTCAACGCCTAAGGAGCATATTGAACGCGCCATATCCTCTGACATTCCAGCCGGTCGCCGTTCGTTTCGCAACTCTCCACTTCCGGACTCGCCTTCCACTGCTGACTGCGCTTCACGCGCTTATGAACTCCTGGACACAACCCTTACTCATTTCCTTCCAGGTGATATCGATCCAGATGATCCTGCAGTGCGAGATCTATGCAAGATTGATGGGGACACATCCCTGGATGAAATCGTGTGCCCACTTGTTCTACTTATCACACGACTCTGTCTTGGTGATGACGATGCCAAGACAAGAATAAGACAGTGGTTGGTGCCTGAAGATCTGGACAGGACGCATCCTTTGGAGAAGAGAGCAGATCTTTTGGGTCGATGCTTGAGACTCCTTGCATCCGTGTATCACAGTAGATTGAAGGACTCCATGGGAGAAATGTTGTATGCAATGTGTGATTCAAACGGTACGTCATATGCACCTCCCGTCGGTTATACTTACGAATGAAATTTAGCTACAACCCTTGCTGGTTATTTCGGGTACGGCAATGTTGCTGGGTTCCTTTTTCACAAAGGCGTTGTCAGTGCACCGCCTGTCAGCGCGACCTTTGGCGCACCACCGACTACTGCGTCAGGTTTACCCATCAACCCCATCACTGGCACCGTTGAGCATCCCTCGGAAAACATCGACATGACCGATGAAGAGAAGGAACACGAAGCGGAGAAGTTGTTTGTGTTATTTGATCGTTTGGAGAAGACTGGTGCGCTACCTCCGAGTCAGAATCCCTATCGCAAGGCGTTTCAAGAGGGTAAAATGGGCTAACCTGACTCAGCAATGGTGGATATGAAGTTATCACATGGACTTGCGAGTAGCTTACTTACCATCCCTTTTCCCCCTTTACCTTGAATTCACAGTTAATGAAGTATGATAGATCAAGTTGTCAACCGCAGCGATAGAACATTGTGCATATGTATGTATATACGAAAGATATGCAACGACTTGGGCCACGTTGAAAGTGGGAAGTCATCATTTTGGGGTAGCGCCGTGTAGCAGTCCATAGGAGCTCAGAATGACATCGCAAAATGTCTAATCGAAAGTGATCTTGGACCCCTCAAACTGAGTGACGGCTCCAGTGCGTGCGCCCCCTCGGCCTCTGCCGCCACCCCTCCCACCACGGTCACCACCTCGACCGCGTCCTCGCCCACCACGATCACCACCGAACCCACCACGTCCACGTCCGCGGTCACCGCCACCGAACCCACCACGTCCACGACCTCTGTCGCCGAATCCTCCACGACCCCCACCCCGTCCACCCCCGGCGTTGTCTCTTGGTTGGGAATAGTCCAAGCGAAGGCTGCGGCCGTCAAGCTCGTAACCCTGCAGCTGCCCGTGGGCTGTCTGTGCGGCCTCCACAGCACTAAACTCGACATAGGCAAAACCTTTCGGCCTTCCCGAGTCACGATCCGTTGGAACACGAACGCTTTTAACGTCGCCGTGCTCGCCAAAGACTTCCCAAAGTTGGTCCTCGTTGACACCAAAGCTAAGATTCCCAACAAAGAGAACACTTGATACTGGACTCTGCGTGTCGCCAAAAGATTTTGCCCGGTTTTCACGGACAGTGCTTTTATCCGGCGGAGTGCTTTTGTCAATATTGACAGGTCGTCCATCAATTTCCTTGCCATTCATTTGGAGAGCCTTTTCAACCGCATCTGCGGATGCGAAGTGTACATAGCCAAAACCGCGCGACTTTCCGGTTGCGCGATCTGTTTGTACTTGAGCAGAGACAACTTCGCCGCAGGAGGCAAATTCCTGCGCAAGCCAGTCGTTGTCGATATTCCATGATAGCCGACCAACGAAAATACTTTTCGTTTCCTCGATCGATACGCTAGGAGCGGCATCGCCATCAACCAATTTTACCTTTTTTGGGGCAACGGACGGCTCTGCTTCTGCTTTGCGCTTGGTGCCTGTAGACCATTCAGATTGATAGACGACCACTGCGATCAATAGCTTACCCTTGGCAGGCTGAGCCTCAGTACCCTTGTCCCCATCCTGATCTGACGAGCTCTCGTCGCTCGAAGAATCGGAAGAATCACCACTTTCTTTACCCTTCCCCTTTTTGCCGCCCGGGACACTGGCTGGCTTTTCATCATCCGATGAGTCATCGGAGTCTGAAGCAGGGGTAGCCTTTTTGGGTGGTTCACCCTCCGAAGAGGAGTCCGAGGACTCGTCGCTTGATTGGGAAGCTTTTGCAATCGATGCTTTGAGTGCTCCCTGTGGATGTTGAGTAAAAATCGAAAGACTGAAAAGGCGAATACATACAGCCTTAGCTAAAATGTCCTTGGATGATGTCGGCAATTTGACTTTCTTTCCGGGCGAGGCGGTTGGTTTGGCCGCCTTGGTTTTATCTGTCTTTTTGCCTGAAGAATACGATAAAAAATCAAGTTGAGCGCAGACTAGTATCATCCATCACTCACCATTGGCAGGCTGAGCATCTTGCATCACTACATCCTTGTCACGGACCTCATCTGATGAGCTCTCGTCGCTTGAAGACGAATCAGAGGAATCATCGATCTCCATTTTACTCTTTCCTTTTTTGCTGGCCGGGGTACTAGCAGGCTTTTTTTCTTCCGATGAATCATCAGAGTCTGACGTTAGCACAGTTTTTTTAGGCTGTTCATCTTCCGAAGAGGAGTCTGAGGAATCGTCAGATGATTCGTCGTTGGCACGTTTAACGGAAGCCTTTCCGTTCGATGCTTTGAGTACTTTCTATGAAGGTCGTGTAGAAAGGTCAGAAGGGGACGGTTGAACGACAGGAAATACATACAGCCTTGGCCAAAATCTCTTTGGACGACGCTAGCGACTTTGCTTTTGCGGGTGAGGCAGCGGCTGGTTTGGCAGCCTTGGCCTTATCTGCTGTCTTTTTGTCTGCCTTCTTGTCTGATTTTGCCATGGTGTGCAAGTGAAGGATACAGATTTGCGAAGTAGGAAGTCCAAAATTTTGGCTCGATAAGCACGTGAGCCATTCTGATTAAGGGCAGGTTGGTTCAGGACTTGCCAGAATGCTGCGAGTGTTCTGTATCTGAATCAGTTTCTTCTATCACTGCGGCAATGGATAATCACTTTGACGTTATCGTGCTTGGCACCGGTCTGATCGAGTCTATAACTGCTGCGTGAGCAAAATTTGACACTCGCACACCATGTTCTTGTACTCAGTAGGAATCTATCAGTGCTCTCTCCAAAGCTGGCTTCAAAGTCGCACATATTGACCCCAATCCATATTACGGTGCAGACGAAGCATCCCTCTCATTAGATGAACTCGTGCAGTGGGTTAATCGCCGTAAAGAGCACGATCGTTCCGTCACCCATTATGGTGAACTCCCACCTTATGCGAGACAGTACTCAGTCTCATTGGGTCCTTCGGTCATTCCATCGATCGGCCCTTTCATTTCGTCCCTCATTGCATCTGGCGTTTCTCGCTATGGATCTTTCAAGCTCCTTGGTCGCGTTGTTATTTATGATGGTGGGATGTTGAAAGATGTGCCTCAGAGCAAGGATGACATCTTTCAGAGCAAGGCGATGAGTCTCTTAGAGAAGAGGAGGGTCACGCGTTTCCTTATGTTTGCTGCTGGAGATTTCGAGAATAGCAAGGAGCTGCATGGCCAAGAAAATTCGCCCTTGCTCGATTTCTTGCATAGGATTTTTTTGCTCAGTGAGGCAACCGCTCGGGCCATCACCTATGCCCTTGGATATTGTTCTTTTATTGCAGAAAAGACTCTTCTCGCTCTGCATCGTATCCGCGCTTACCTGAAGGCATCTGGTCGCTATGGACCATCCTCATTTCTTGTTGGCTACTACGGTGGCTCGGGCGAAATTGCACAAGGCTTTTGTCGGGCAGCTGCTGTGAGGGGAGGTGTTTATGTTCTGGGACGATCCGTTACAAGTATCTCGTCTGTCGATCCCGCTGAGCCAGAACACCCAGTTTTGACATCAGATCTACCCCGGTTCGCTATTGAAGTTGACGACTTTCCAGACCGTCTTCACTGTCGATGCCTGATATCGTCGACTTCTCTTCTACCAGGACACCTTCGCACCCTAGCAGATTTCATCCGTCCGAGTATAACATCCTACGGCTCCCCGCGGCCATTTGCAGTGGCGCGATGTATTGCCGTCGTTGATGGGCCAATTACTTTGCCGTGGGATAACGAGGATTCGGGAACGTCAGAAGTGTCGGATTCTTTACTTCTTGTCTTTCCGCCGGGGTCATTACACGGGGGATCGGCTATTTCTGCTGTGCATGTTATGACAGCGGGTCCAGGTACAATGTCGGCCCCTTCTGGGAAAGGTACGGTGACGTTTTTTCAATTCATGGTTGGCAGTACCTCAATTCATTTTAGGTATCTTGTATATCTCAATGCCTCTTCTTACCAATTCCGTCCATTCGGCTGAGATCCTTTTACGCCCTTACCTAACAGCTGTTCTCTTATTGTTTCCAGCTGAGCAACAGCAGCAGAAAACATTGATTTGTTCTACATTCTATATGCAGGAACTAAATTCGTGTACAGCCAGTACCTCAGATCCATTGGTAGGGCTCCTGGCTGTGCCTTCGTCAAGCCCACATACAACACAGGGGGTAGATGAAGCTGCAATAGTTGCTGAGGCTACCTTTAGAAAGGCAGCATCTTCTCTTAATAGAGAGATAAAAGAGATGAATCAAGGATGTGAGCAAACTGTGTTGTGGCCTGTGTTAGCTGAGATGGAGGAGGGAGAAGGTAATGACATGCATTGGTAGAACACAACTATCTATATATCATACAAGATATCTGCTTGCTGGATGAGGGGGATGGAGGACTGTTCATCTATGTATAAGACCTAGTGTTTTAAATATGAGTCTGTTAACCAGCACTTCCAAGTGTCATTAATATTTGAGAGCCCTCTCTTATCATATGATTATCAGGTAATAGTATGGGTTTGTGCATCTGCAAAATGACTGAAATGTTATGCATGTTACAGACACTTATGAACACTTACAACTTCAGTAGTGAAGTCATGCAATTGGCGGAGATGCCTGATCACCAATATTGCTCACCAATCTGGCTAATAAAACATAAACCAAGTTATCTTTTGTTAATAAGATGTGATAGGCTCACAGATACAATACAATATATGTGATATCAATAGTTGACCATGCTAATTGAGCCACTGTCTATGCAAATTCAGTACTAAATGTATGGTAGCTCTCTTTGTCCACAAAATTGTTCAAAAAGAAATGCTTGTAGCATTCCAAACAAGTGACTGATGAAATATCACTGGCCACTTTCTCACCAAAACATGGTATGAGTTCAATAGCATATGTTACATCTGTCACTCATATGACAGCCACCACCCTATGGCAGTTACCATCATCAGGGAATCAGTGAGAACTTGGTTTTTGTAGATATAAATGGCAAATTCAGACCAGATATTGTTACAATCACTATCTGTTTACCCTTGTACTTATACAATATGCCTTCCTTTCTTGGTGTGTACGATATTTCTCACAATTATCTTGGTCTGTGTGCACATATGGATCTATTTAAGCACAGTGTATTACACTTGTATTCCTTACTTGAATCTTACTAGGTTTTACCAGAACATCCTTCACTTAAGACCCCCAATCTTAAGTCGTCTGATACCTGATTCTTAGTTGAAGCACTCCTTCGACTAAGTCCTGAACTCTCTCTCTTTTCTGAGAGACTTAGAATCTCAACAATTGTAACTCTGTTGAGTTGTTGTTGTTAGAATTATCCTAGTTCATAACAAAAGATTTAAGTTGTATAGACACCACCTATCTGTGTGTGTCCGATACCAAGAAAGACACTGAACCGAAAGAAAAGACCTGGCTGAGCAAGACAGCTAGTGCAGGTGGCAAATCTGACATCACTCACCCCAAGACTACAGGCCCTGAACCTCAGTACCCCCATACCACTGCTCAACATGTCTACCACCACTACCAGTAGTGGAAAAGAATTTGAATACAAGATAAACCACCCTCCCATCTTCAATGGAGATAGGGAACTATCCAAATTGTTCCTACTCTCTTGTAATGCTTACATGGACATCAACAACAAGCTTTACAAAGTGTTACAAGTAACATCGGTCACATGGCCCCCCTATCATTTTCCCTTCATCCTCGCCCTCACCATCTACCGGCTCGTCCTCCTTTACCGACTTTCCGTTGACTGGATCCTCAGGACCATTCCTGTCCCTTGCATCACCCGCCTCTATGCATGTGCATGCACATTCCTCCTATGACTCAACCACCAATGTGGTTCCGCACCCATGACTCAGTCTGACACATGCCACCGATGTGGCTTCCCTTTCTTGATCCCTTCTGACTGCGGTTTCCCGCATGTTGTATTCCTACTGTTGGATCATTCCAACATTTCTCGGTCTCATTCCACTTTCGACCATTCATCACTAATCCAGCTCTGTTGCCAATGCACCTATACCATTCTCGTTTTCCCTTTACCCTTATCTACTGTGCGGTAGCCTTGCCCTTAACCCTCTCCACTTAGTATAAGTAGTTGGTCATCCTGTACTAGATTCTCTAACTTGAATGTACTCAATCTTCCCTGGAACATACTTCCCTCTGAACGCCCCTAGGCTTCAGTCTCTAGTATCTTTTCTTAGTTGCTCTTCGCGACTAAGTCTACCTCGATTGACACTCATCGTTTGGACAAGACTGTCCTTACTTTGAGCCTGGTGACTTCGCAGACATCTTGTCTTAAAAGTCACGTGACATGCGCATCTGTGATCGCTGCTGACTCGATGTCGCCAGTCTCACTCGCCATACTGGATCCTTCTGGTTACGTCAACGACCGTTAGCGGACGACACCCCTCTTAGGGCTCCACATAACAGACCTATTTGAGTGCGTAACACAAAGATGATAAACACCAAATTATCTTCATTACTTCATTCATGAATGAAGGGAATGCCAGACTATGGAAAGAAGAGTTCCTAGAGGATGCACAGTTTGTCGACTCCTCTGAACAGAAGAAGGGATACAGAAACATGAAGGACTTCTTAGAAGCCTTCAACAAAACATTTTCCTCCATCGACCCTTCCGGAACTGCCATGGCAAAAATAGGACTCCTTAAGCAAGGGAATGGAGATCTGCAGACCTATATTGCCAATTACCAAAGGCTGCTTGCCCAAGCAAAGATCAAGGAAGAAACCACCAAAATCTTTTACTTCCAACAAGGGCTCAACACTGGGATACTTATAAAGTTATTCAACACAGGAAACATCCCAAAGAGCTTCAACAACTACATCGCCACTGTCATAGATATTGACAACTGCTATACACAGTTGCAATCCATCAGATCTCGTCTCCCAGTGCAACAGAAGAAAAGGAGATTTGGAGATCAGAGATTTGTACCAACCAGAAATCGCGATGCCATGGTGATTGATTGGCTTACTGAAGCAGATTGACAGAAGCATATGCACATTGGAAAATGTTTCACCTGCCACCAAATCGGGCATCACACTAGGGAATGCCCACAGAAGAAGAAAGGACCACCCTTTGTCCACAAGGTAGAAGAAGAAGAGGAAACTAGACATATTCAGGAGGATTTTTAAATTAGAGAACCATATCAACGATGGAACCTCCAACAGAACCTGTACATTTGATACAAGCTGTTAATGAAAAGAAAGAACTGTGTTCCCATTACCCTCATCTCTTGAACGCAGAAGAATGTTGAAACAAGCGCAGTAGTTGATTCCAGAGCCTCCGGAACTTATATTTCCAGAAGTTTCATAAAGAAACTTGGGATAAAATCTCGAAAACTGAAAAAACCTTTTCATATCCGAACCACAGATGGAAGTTATTTCAGCAGTAGACCAGTTGATTGTTACTGCACCCTTATCATCAAAATTGACGAATATACCATGATAGGAAAATTCAACATTACCAATTTAGGACCCAGGGATCAAATTCTCTTAGGAATCCATTGGCTCCAGGCAATGAACCCTTCCATCGACTGGGCCAAACGATCTCTCTCCCTTCCCCAGACTCCGAAATCTATCAAGATAGAAGAAAGTATTGCATTATCCAAACTTCCAAAAACAAAATGGG